CTTCCCTCTAGGTCTGTCCAAGAAGCCGTCCTTGCTGACTCACCAAGGCCAGATCCTGGACCCTGGGAAGAGCCTCACCCTGCAGTGTTGCTCTGACATCAACTATGACAGATTTGTTCTGTACAAATTGGGGGGAGCTGACTTCACCCAGCATCGAGTCCAGTGGACCCAGAGTGGCCTCTCCTTGGCCAACTTCACACTGGGCCCCGTGAGCAGCTCTACTGGAGGACAATACAGATGCTATGGTGCACACAACCTCTCCTCTGCGTGGTCAGCCTCCAGTGACCCCCTGGATATCCTGATCACAGGTGAGGGGATAAATAGATTCCCTCAGGTACCTAACCTGTGCATGGGTTCTCATGAGGGAGTTAAGGAGGTGATGACTGGGATGAAGGACAGGGATCTTATTCAGAAACAGATGCAGAGGCAGGAGAACAGGAAAGGGCCTAAGTCAGAGAAAAGAGACAGAGTCCCAGGTGCTCAGGGCAGACCCAGGTGAGGTGTCAGCTCAGAACAATAGAGGCAGCCTCTCATCATCCCTCTTCTCCTTAGGACAGCTTCTCTTCAGTCCTTCCCTCTCAGTGACGCCTAACTCCACAGTACACTCTGGAGACAACGTGACCGTGCTGTGTCAGTCATCAGACCAGGTGGACACTTTCATTCTGTCCAAGGAGGGAGCAGCCCAACAACCCCAGCGACTAAAATCAAAGTCTGAAGCTTGGAACTTCCAGGCAGAATTCTCCATGAGTGCTGTGACCTCTGATCTCTTGGGCACCTACAGGTGCTATGGATCTCAAGACTCATCTCCCTACCTGCTGACACAAGCCAGTGACCCTGTGGAGCTCACTGTCTCAGGTAAGGTAACCCTGAACTCTCAGGATGACTTACAATTCAAACCCTAGGAGATCCCTTGACTTGGGTGGGATTAAGGGGACAATAGGAAGGTTAGTCAGAAGGCACTTTCCCTGACAGAGAAGTGGATGCCAGCAGCGGTCTTTCTCGTAATGTCCACTCCATCCTCTATTGCAATCTAGATTTGAGTCATACAGCATGAGCATCTTGGAGAGGTTACAGGATACAGATAAGACAGTAAGCAGAGACAGATCCCTAGGTTGGCATCTAACCCTCACCCCCTCTTGTTCTGTTTCCTAGGACCCATTGGAACCTCAACCCCACCACCCTCAAAGTCCATGCCAACAGCTGGTGAGTATGAGGCACCTCAGTGCAGGGAGTATCCACCATCCCCAGGCTGCCTGGCATCTCTTAGTCCACTGAAGTCCTCATTTCTCTGTCACCTTAGCTTGTGAGTGCAGGAGGCAAACAGAGATCCCAACAGAGACCACAGAGACCCAGGACTTAGGGGTTTGGATACAGAAAGGTGGTGTCCAGAAAGTTCTGGCTTAGTCTGAAGGATGGAGCAGGTGGATGAGGTGGAGAGCAGGGATCCCAGACATTCGCCTCCTCATCCTGCCTCTAAGGCCCTGAGAACAAACCTCTCTCACCTGCATGGTGTCAGGTCCCAGGAAGATAATAAGGGCTCTGTTGGAAATTGGGGCCCAGATGGGCAATAGCTAGTTATAGGCTCCATACAGCTGCTTCAGGAGATGCTGACTTGGACCAGCCTTTCCCTTTCTGGATTTGGCTGAGTAAAAAGGGGAGAAGCCTGGCCCACATGTCTAAATTTCTTTCAGGGCTGGCCTTGGCTATGACCTCTCCTGACAGAGGAGTCCCCCAGAACCTGCTTCTGCAGTGGGTCTGTCCCACAGTGGTGGGGACCTGTGCAAGGGTGGGGCAGAGGGCCAGGGCAGGCCATTCAGACTCCTCCCCTCCAGTCAGGAGGCTCAGCTCAGGTGGAGAGGAAAGAGCTGTAAGTAAGAATCCCTGGGTTCAATTCCCAGCTCTGCCACTTCCAGTCAGGTGATCTGAGGCAGGTGAACTGTGGGGTAGAAAAAAAAAAGACAATTCCTCCTTACATAAGATTGTGAGGTGGGCTGGAGAGATGGCTCAGAGGTTAAGAGCACTGACTGCTCTTCCAGAGATCCTGAGTTCAATTCCCAGCAACCACATGGTGCCTCACAACCATCTGTAATGAGATCTGGTGCCCTCTTCTG